AAGAAAGTCGGACTAGCAAGAAATATACATGTAGATCCGGTTTTTTGTCCCACTGAAAGAACTTTAAAATGCTATACAAATTTCTTATGTTTTTAATGCAACCGTGGACACTTGCTGGCAGAGAACCTTGCAAGTTCCTCCAAATTTGCGTTCGTGCAGACATTTGCAAGTTTCTCTACTTGAGAGAGAATTTGGGAGCATTTTTTCTTATTAACTGATATTTTGAGTGATAATTTTCGCTGGATTTTCGACGAACAAACCTATTGTCTTCCTAGAGAGTTGCGCTTTACATAAAAATTTGTCCTGGTTCTTTTAATTCAAGTTGGCCTTCGGTTTTTGGAATTTAAATAAGTTCTCAGGAAAAAAAAGTTAGTTTAAGTAAGCCCATATGTGTACATAGTGCTTGAAAATATCCAATTTTCCCTTGCCTTAAAACTTTAAGCGTGGGCAACAATGATGTTTTGTAATTAAGGCAGAATTGAATATACGCTATCTAGGAAGACAATACCTATAACATTTATTCTTGGCAGTATATCCAAACACAAACGCCTGTTAAGCAAATAGTGAAACAATTTGTTATTTTCTAAGTTTGCGAATAAAACTTCACACTTAAATTTAAGTCATTGATAACAAACATTTTATGAAGAAAGTCCCCGTTACGGCCTTCTTTAGAAAAAAAAATTTGTTTAAAATAAAAATAATCGAAATCGGCCCTATTTTATATAACCCTGCCTCCACGATAACGCTACTAGCCATTTCTAACAGATTTTGGGTCGCTTAGTCAAAAATGTAAACATATATATGTATTTGAATTTTAAGAAAACAAAGAAATAGCAAAATCGTTTTTTTACAAAACGGCTAACAAATCGGCTTCCGGCTAAACCGAAATTTCTCCGGCTGTTTGCTATTGCAACCGGCTAAATCTAGCCGTAAAACGACTAAAATGGCAACACTGGTCTTAATGCTCAGGTAACGCTGCTACCAGCTAAGTGCATTACGCTTGAGTATGTATTCGTACTTACAAAGCTTAGCTTTCTCAGTTTTTCTTGCTCAAATTACTTTTCCACCTACAAATAAATAAGTAATTTTCTATTTAAAGTATCCAAACGAAGCCACTGTGCGTTTATTCAGGCCTTTGCGGCACTTAAAATATATCAAAGTAAGCAACAAATCTAGCCAATTCGCCAATGGACTGCGGTATCGAAGCTGTATGCAGATATTGAATAATTGTGGCAGCAGCTGAAGTTGAAGCAGCTGACATTTGTAACGCTCGATCGACCGGCCAATCGGGCGGTTAGTGACATTTTTACTTTTCGCCAACCATACCACATTCAAATATACTTACACATGTACATACATATACATTTACATAAATATATTGCAAATGAGCTCGCTTATGCATTTGCGTATATTTGTAGCGCAAACGATACAATAGAAATTATCAAAAGTAACAAAATACTTTTCGAACTTTTACAACTCGTTTGCTATTTAATCAAAACATTCATTCAAATGCGAACTGCCAGTAGGTAAGCCACAGAAAATGGGGACCGTCATCATTGTGGGGCTCATGCGTCATATGCATGCACGTATTTCTTAGTATGTATGTATGTACATTAGGGAGGTTCAAAACAAAAGTTTACAATTTTAAGCTCTCACCCCTGGGTTCTTTCTAAATACTTAGATAAAAGAATAGCCGATCTTTTTTTGTAAAAAAAATATATAAATATATGTATATTTAGCACTGTCTCAAAGCCGATGTATTTTACTTACATATATGGTGTAAAAGACACTTTTTCGTAGAAATGGCATAGAATTCTTTTGGCACTCAATATTTTTCGAGCGGAAAAGCTTGTTTCTCTTCAGGAGACCTTCAGCAACGCTACCCAATCGTTTGTTTTTAACAATTTTTAATATTATTGATTTTTTTATGGCTTCTCCATTGCACTTTATAGGGATTTTATAGAACCTATAAATGGTAAAAAAATTGAAAAAAAAATTGAAAGAGAACAGAGTTTCCGATCGAAAAATATTGATTTTAAAGAATTCTATACGATTTCTACAAAAAAGTGTTTTTCCCATATAAAATACATGGGAAACTTCATCTATCATTTCTTTCTATACAAAAAATACGGGTGTGCTTTTTTTCCCATTAAGAAAAGTCCTTGGCGGTGAGATCTATACATGTTATACACTCCCCCTGCAACCCTCCTGCATTTTTGCACCACCCTAATGTACATTCAGTTGTTTTGTTATTTTCTTGCTATTGTATTACCGCTGCCGAGGTGATCGAAATGAAAGTAATTTCGCGTAGTGGGAAGGAAAAACCTCATTTGTCAATTAATATCACCGCATGGCATCTCAAATGAATTTCCAACTTTCTGCACCCAAAGTACTAAAATGTGTAAAAGAGTTAGAGTAAGTATTCGCATTGCAATATGTATGAGTACAAGTACCAACAAAGCACGTACGTACATAGGTATTAATGTATGTATTTATGTATGTGCATACGTGTAATTGCTGGCTTTGCCTGACGGTAGCATAAAATATTGCTGCAACGCTAGCAATCCGATATGCTAGCATAGTCCAATGAGCGATTAATGCTTGGCGTCTGCGGCATGGGATTTGTAAAGCTTTTGCTAAGTAAAGTGACGAGTTAAATAACAAAAAAACTCTAAATATAATTTACACTTTTATTTTACACAAAACGAGTAATGACATTTTGGAAAGGAAGAAGTGCCGCTGAGCTGACAGTAAGCGGAATGATGTGAAGTCATTTGCTTGTGCGTTCATAATAAGCAAATCTAAAAATTTAAGTAAACTAAGAGGCAGGAAATTATTAATAGAATTTGACTAAAAAATAAAATGTTGTCGTACTTGGCTATCATGAATACGAGTGTTAGAAGAAGAATATACGGAAAATCGGGAACAACTTTGAATTCAAATTGAATCCCGTCGAAATAATAGCCACAGCTTTTATCACAAAAATCTGTCGCTATGACCTTGTTGGCGGACATCTCTGGTGCACGTTCGCTCATAGAAATTCGCTACTTTAACTGTTTTTTTTTTGGTATCTGATGCAGTGTTTTAGATTTGCGAACGCTAACAAAATGGCTGAACAACTCGGCCTTATTGCGGTTAAACATCGGCTAATATTTCGCGTTATGTACCCACTCAGTTGGGATGCCTACAGCCTCAGCCTTCACTCGTGGGTCGTCCATTATCATTCCATGAATTCTATCGAAGATTTCTGATGTAAAAAAGTTTTTTGGTACTATAGTTTGGGATAAGAATAAAAAAACTTTAAGCAAACAAGCCCGAGTTTTTCATTCTAAGTGCAGACTGCACTGCCACTGTTTTTTCGGTTCGAGCTTAGACGAAAAATTTCAACAATCGCCTCCCTCCTGCTGTGGTCCTCAGCAATGCAAATTGATTAAGGCATTCCTTTAAACTTAAAATTTAGAAACCTTGAAAGATCAATCAAATTTGCCAGGCTTCTTAATTAATTTTTTTTCAAGTTTGGAGGGATTACCTCCAATGAGCAATTCAAATAATAGCAGCTTCTAATTTCTATTAAAAAGAGAGCAGTCAAGTCTTATGGTAGGAAATGTAGGAAGCTAGGAAATGTAAATCTCAAAAAAAAAAAACTGCAAACGAAGACTCACATTGTTCAATGATTGGTAGGTATCCTAACCCTCTCCCCAACGAAAACAACGACGACCGTCTATACCACCTGGACGAAGGCAGTTAAGCTTTAATTAGGGAGTCATGACCTGGAAAACTAATAACGCTGGCAAATAACCCGAAAGCCTTGTGAACAGCAAACAATTTCCAGAGCCTCTGCCCTGGTACGTCAGTAGAAATCTTTTCGAATACAAGGCGAGATCAAAAGACACCCGACAGAACCATTGAACCCGACGATGCACAGTGGTACAGCCTCTAACCTCAAAAACGTCTTAAAAATGCCATAAAAAGTGCATCGATGAATATATAACTCCGAAAGTATGTCCTTATATTTTCAATAATGCTATGTGTGAACCCTCAAAACGTGAATGTAATCGGTTTATTTTGAATTATAACACCCATAAAAACCTAACCTCAATAAGGCGTTCCTGAAGGCTGTAAAAATCGGACCGATGAACATATATATCATTCCGAAAACATCCAGAAAATGGGAGTAATCGGTTTTTTTTACCCATAAATACTATTATTGCTATATAATGCTGGTTTTTCACTAGGCATTAAATTGCCAAAATGACAAATGACAAAGTTGGGCATTAAAAAATATTTGTGTCACTACGTTAAAAAAAGTGTCATTAAGTTCATTTCCACATGACATTTTTTTTAAATGGCATATACTTTTTGTCATTTCAATGCCTTGTGGAAATTGGGCATAAGGCTACGTTAAAAAAGTGCAAATATGTGTAATTTTTTCTGAAAATGGTAGAAAATATTCCGGTCTTAAACTATAACTAACAAAAATAGAGTTGATTAAATGGTACAGTTAAATCACATTTTGTTTTAACTTTAATCTAGTTTTATTATTTTATGTAAAATACTTTATTTTTTTTTTGAGCATTTGATTCGATACCTCAAATTCTTCTGCATTTGCTGTGGCGACTGGAATTCAAAGGACAGCTGAAATCATTTGTTCCAAATGAGGAAACTTACAAAAAACCGAAAGAGAAATTTTAATTTATTCGTTAAAATCGGAAACTTCGAAACTGGGACTAGGAGGTAATTTAAGTAACTGCAACTTCTTCCAAAAACTGTAATTTACAGTTAAAACTGTAAATCTGGCAACATATAATGGCGTACCCCACATAGCAATACAATAAAGAGCTCAAAAGGATGGCTACTTGAGTCGGCATTAAAAAGGATTGTTTCTTCTTAGCTTTACACATTTTCTTTGAGAACAAAACTTTTTTTGTATATGACCCCCGCAATTTATTAACTTTGTAATTTCCTTTAACTAATCATCATCATTCTTCTTCTATTTGCAGTTCGGCCTTCGTCAGTTGGATCTCTCACTACTCTCGCAACTGTGGGCGCTCAACGATTCGATACAGGAATTTCGTACGATGCTAGAGTCACAGGAACTTGAACCTGACTCGTATTCGCCACACTCACCGACGCCCTCCTCTTACGATTCCGTCTCAAGTGATGCCGAAGATGAAACTACAGCCACAACAAATAAAACAAAAAAGAGTAAATCAGCCGACATTAATAAACCAAAAATAATAACAACACAACCAAAATTAACTCAACGTTCCAACTCAGCAACGGAACGAACAAGTAATCTAAGTGCGACCGCGCCACAACGGCCATCACCGCCGAAAATTCTCGATATGAGACCTGTACCGCGCATGCGCAGTGCGCCACCACCACCGCCCGTCAATCGCAAATCGGCAGCACCGCCACGCCCCACATGATGCTACCTAACCGACTTCCTCGCCAGCGTAAAGATGGTCATGTGCAAAGCGATTATAAGCAACAACGGCAGCAGCTGCAGTGATGCGCTAACGGGATTGAAGCACTGAGGGAGATCGTCGTAATTGAGGCATGAAGAAGAATAAGAATCGAAGCGTTGAAAGAGGGCTGTGGGCGAGGAATTTCGACTGGGATTGAGACAAATTTATAAAATAAAATAAGAAAGTGGAAGCTATTGATCATCTGCTGTGAAGCAGGAAAACGCTGCAAAGAAGCCTTAAAATAATATTCTTTAAAAAATTGAATTTAAGTTCGTAATTGAAGACAGCGAGCGCTCTTTTTTTGGCAATAAACATAAAGCGCATTAAACATTGTGATTTAAGTGATTGCAAAATTTAGCAACAAAGAAAGAAAGAAAAAAAAAATGCAAATAATATTTGGAAAACCGCATGTGTGGTATTAATTTAGTTAGTGATATGTACGTGTAGTTGTAATTTGCTGCAATGCGTCTCAATGGGTTACGTAGCAGCACCTAGGCTGTCCTTCACTTAGGCTGACATACATATGTACATATGTATGTATGTATGTATGTATGTAGGTAAATACACACATGTTTAAAAATGCTGAGCAAAAGTTTAAGCTCTTGAAATTAGGATATACTTACTTATTAATGATTCGGCTGTTTTTTCGCTTTCGAAACTCTAAAAATCTCATATGTAAACTTACGTAACGTGTAAACACGTTTTTTTTTTCTAACAATTGTATAAATATTTCGATGACTTGGCACCTCTGCTGCTGCTGAGTACTTCTTTATCTTATTTAATACTTCACATATTTACAACTTTATTGAAGCGGCGAACTTATAAGCTAAATTAAATTGTACTGTATTTCTAACTGTATATACACTCACACATACATACGTTATATAACTAAGTAGTATGCAAGTAACGTAAAATATGTAATAGAATGCGAAAAGAGAATATATTGAGCGATGCTTGAACTCTGCGTACTAATGCTGTTTGCTAATAATGATTATAATTAAATGCTACTGTAAATATGAAAAATTTTAAATTTATAAATAAACAAAAACAAAATTACAAACGATAATATTTTTTATTTACATATGTAAATGCTTTTAACCAACTTCCCGATAAGCTTGGGACTTGAAATTTCAAGCTTAGCTCAGAAGGCGACGACAATGCAATGTGAAGCATGAATTTATTCTCTAGGTGGCGCAGTTGTCGAGATATTTGGAAACTCTGACCATATATGTAGGTCAGAAAAGATTCATATTTAGAACACATATTACTTGAATGGAAAGAATTGACACTACAGAAAATTTAGAGGTTAGGTGGTTTAAAAAAAGTTTTGTAACTTTCTTTATTTTATTTCCCCAAAAATAATTGAACTCAGTTCCAACCAAGTCCAAATGTCATCAAATCAGTTTTCGCTCAAGAGAGCTATTACTAAGTGTCCGTTAATATGAACTGAACTAATAATAATAAAAAAAGCTTAAAAAAGTTCTGTCCACATGGCTATGAAGTAGCGAGCTCTGCATTACCTACATCATCTACATATGAATACACTGGTTTACAGAAAAAGTGTTTTTTTTTGGATGCCACTATCCAATTCCTATGTGGAATTTCTCGGTGATTTCGAAAATTTAGTAAGTTTCGTTTTCTATGGATAAGTTTTCGAGATATTTTCAATTTACCATTATTCAGCTTGAAAAAAGGTGGTTTCACTTAATCACGCATATCTTACGAAAGAATTGAAAAACCTTAAAACCAGTGAACGAAAATGAAAGTTAATGAAAGCTAATAAAATTTCCCATAAATCGTGTATACATCAGAATTCTATGGGTCCAACAATTTCTAAGAAATTAATGAATCATACCAGGTTTTTTTTTTTTTTTATGAAATAATGAGAACAACTCAAACTTTAACAAGGTCCAAATTTAAAAAACAACAGATTCTGTGTAAGTTGTTTACCTTTTTGTTAAATCCCGTTCTTTTACAAAAAAAAATTAAGCTACTAATGAAGAAAATCGATTTATATATAAAGAAGGAATGAGTGGTCAAATAAAAATGCCCAACGATTTTTTTTCATGAAAAATAAGCAGGAAAGAGTGTTGCTCATACGCCATGTAAACTCTACACTAGGAAAGAAATTAACTAGATTTTCGGAATCAAATGTATGTATATAGTGTAATGATTACCGTAACTTCATCTTATAAAGAGATGTGTAATTTTTTTTGTTTAAAACTAATAAAGCTAGAAGAACGAAATTCGAGGATGTGGTAGGTTATATATTAGTCCTTGACATATAATTGTTTCAAAAATAAATATTGGAAATTTCCCAGGATATTCAAGGATAAAGTTTTGAAAGGACCTGGTGTACCAAAATATTATTATTTTTTTCAATTCTACAGAATTTTTCCTTTTAATTGCTACCCATATTGTTGCTCTACAATGCACCAAATTTTTAAAATAATTTTTTATTCAAACATATCCTAGAAATTTCAAAGTCCTCTAAAAAAAATATTGACGTCAGAGAGAAAAATTAAAAACGCAACTATATTTAGCTCCTACTTTTGTAAATATATTGATTTTTTTCGTGTCGTTTTCACTGTCACACGGTGTTATTGGACCATCCTAATGTAGAGAGTGCACGCCCCCTCGATATATCGATATCATAGGGAAATAGTAAGTAAACTAAATTTGGTTCTTATCGGTCATTTTACAGGACAAACGAATAAAATAATTTTCCGACGAGACTATTTCCCCTGAATTTTCCATTAAAATCGTTTATTTATTCATTTTATTTTGTTTTAGCTATCTCGTTTCAATCTCGAGAAATTAGTCTTTTCCCCTTTTTTTCCCAAAATAGAACATAGTGCGGCATCATCACATGGTTATATAATATTGCCACAAGCTGGGATGCCCTCTGCAGGTTGCATTTCGTATGCTGGGAAGACTCTTTGTTTGCGATGGAATAAATTTTAATTTACAGCCGTTGCCAGCAGTACAGCGAGTTGTAATGTATTTGTAGATTATATATTTATTGTACAAATAAAGTTAAAAATAAAAAAAATAAAACAATTTTGAATTTTTAAATGATTTTTTGGAAATAAATTACGTTTTTCGGAGTTAATGGGACATTTACTGATGCTGAACACCACATTTGGGTACCTTTTATCGATCTGTCTTGAAAATATTTCTTGGCCCCTGCAGAGCTACAGAGTAATGAAGCACTTGTCAAATAGGGGAATTGTCTACTTTCAGCAAGACAGATTGTTCTACGAAGAACAAGACACTTTAGAGCACATTATGTTCCAATAGCCCCAGACTTTAATTTATAGGATCACAGTACCTAAACGCGCATAACCTAAATAGCACAACGCAATGAAAAATATCAAGATTTTTTTTTATATTTAAAAACCGCAAAAGTTATTAATTTGTATATGGTAATATACTTTTTTATATAAAAAAAGAAGTTATTGGACAGAGAGCAATAAAATAATTTATATGAATTTTTTAATGATTTTTTGAAAAAAAATCAAAGTTATTTATTATAATCAATAGATTGCACTGCTTTCCGTTTTTTTGTTGGCTGATGTTATGGATGTCATTTCCTGCTGGGCACTTAACGTGCAATTGAACTCAACAAGGTTTTGTAGCATAACATTAGGCATAAAATCAAGTAAGAAAAGTGATTACCCAGCATAAAAAGCGACTGCTCTGGGATGATTCCAGTGTTAGTTCCAATATCTCATAAGACTAGCGCCCCTTCTGAGATGTTTGTGTGCACTGTAATGTACTTAATGTCCGAACGTGTATGGAAAGAGACTAGTCCGATTTAAATCAAGTCAACATATCCACAACACGGGTAAAACCCCTTATTCGAAGTACCTAAACGTTACTCACATAATAATCTCGGTACTCACAGCAAAATGAAGAAATCTTTGATATGTATTTGGGTATACAAATTTTTAATTTATACATCACTTTGAAAATTTTCGTTTAATCCAAGAATAAGGAACAGGTTTTCATATAAAATAAAAAAATTTTATTGAATTAGATTTTTTCATAAAAAAAATGGAGTAATAATTTAATTTCTCAAAAACTATCACCTACTGAAAAGTGATGTATAATGGAGAATTTCGTTAGCTTCCATTTACCGTATTTCATTTTAAAATTGTTAAATTGGTTCGTAAGATATATGTGATTAAGGGCCAATCTTACAGTGACGAGTTAACTTTCGTTTGTCAGGTAACTACAGGTTTTCAGTACAAAAACAGAAATTCGACCAACGAATTTGAGTAAACCCCTCACTGTGCAAACGTCACTAAATGGGAAAATTTTTTTGAACTTAATCTGAGCAATTCTATATAGGAATCGGACAGTGGCATCTGGTGAACAACAAAAAAAAAAATTGTGACCCAATGGAACCGCTTATTTCCCCCACATAGATTATACACGTCGCAAGGCTTGGGGTTTGATATGATTCAAAATTTGTAGCGATGATTCGAGTGAGGTACACGTCTTTCATTGTATCAAAAGTAATGAGTAAAGTAATGGGTGTTAATGGGCACAATAGGTGTTCTGGTCGCAGTGCATAACTTAGTATTAGTAACGAATACATACGCGTATCCAAAATTTCGTAACTTTTGCAGCGCTATTCGCCACTTGCTACTTGCTTGGCGAATCAAAAACGGCCATTGTTAATATATGCTAGAAAACGCAGGCATATAAACCAAGAGCCTGAATGTGTGCAACGTTTCATAACCAAAGCATGTGTCTACAGTGTGGAGAAAAACATATGAAGTGGCTTGAGAATGGGGATATGCACAAAAAAATAAAAAATATGGTGGTGTAATATTATGACAAATTTTATTAGAAAAACTTACTTATTCATCACAGAATTATGCATTATATGGTCATTTCATTACAGGGAGAATTCATCACAGAATTAATAATTATACGTGTTATTTATTCCATGAATATGTTTTGGTGTTAAATGTTTGCTTAATATCATTTCGCTCTGTATTTTTTAAACATTTCTTCTCAAAGCGTTTTAGTAGTTTGTTTTATAATATTTGGCACACCCTAATACGGTTATCGATGGGTTTTATTCTGGCTTAATAGAAAATAATTTTTAATAATTGAGCTTTGTATTATATTCATGTTTGTTAACATTTCCTCATTTCAAAATATGGTTTCGCTTTTTCTAAAAATTGTGTCGGCTGTTCCGCTTCCGCATCTCCTCTCCGGCAACAAAGAAAGGAATTCTACAGAAGCATACATACACAATTTCGATTGCAACTTGATCTTACCCATATTAAAAGAACAAAATAAGGTATATACATCAGGGACCGAACATAACAGTTATTGATGAAAACTGTCATTGAAAAATTCACTATGAAAACTAAGTGACACATATTCTTTTTTTACCGTGAATCAAATTTGAAAATATTTTTTTTTTTTGTAATTTTTATGCAAAATTAAAATAAAAAACAATTATCTTTGATTCTTATTTTATAAATCCAAAATAACAATTATTTTTGATTATTATCTAAATAATCTGCAAATAACACTTATGTTTGATTTTGATATTATATGTCTTAGATAACCGTTATCGATGACTTTTATTTATAAAAGTCATCAATAATAATCAGTCAGTGACTTTTACTTTTAAAATTCATCAATATAAATCAGTCACCGACTTTTATTTTTTAAGCCATAAGTATAAAAGTCATTTCAATTTTTCTCTAAGAAGGCATTGGAGAGCAAAAGTTTACAAGGACTTATACAAACGACTTTTATAAGTATGGTTTAAAAAATAAAAGTCAGTGACTGATTTATATTGATGACTTTTAAACGTAAAAATCACTGACTGATTTTTATTGATGTTTTTTAAGGATTAATTAAATTAAAATAATAAAATAAATGAAATTAAAGTAAGAAAATAACTGTTAAAGAGCGATTTTTTAATAAAAGTTGCAACTGTTACAGTCCCTGACATACATATATACATATATGCCGCATTTATAAATCTCCTATGATGTAGAGCGAAATACGATAAAAAATGAACTTTTTAAG